GCTTCACCTTCCCTGCCAACAGTGACCCAGCAAGGACTGCGTCCCACTGCCCCATCCAGCTAAGGGCAGCACTGGAGCAGGAGCTGAGCTCCCTCCATGTGTGAGGAGGGACTGACAGCTGTGGGCAGCTTTTGTGTCTGTGTGGCCCCAAGGCAGCTTCCCAAGCAGGCTTCCATTCCTCGCCACGAAAGGCATCAAACCTTCTTCTCCAGGGAGTTATGGAATATTTTAGTGTCAGTCACTGTTACTACTGCGGATTTTGGCCTATGTGATGTTAGTTTTGGCTGCATTTCTGTTCTGGGTTACATATAGGACTTGAGATACTTCAATTGCCAAGGCTTGTCTATGTACTGATCAGCATATCTTCTGTTCATTTTCACTTTAAAATTGTGTGGGTTTGTGTGTGTTTTGGGTGCATGAACTTGAAAATATCCTTATACTTTTGGGAGAGCACTCACATGAGTTAGGTGGCAAAATCCTTAAATGTTAATTTCATGGCATTGTCTCAGAGATTGTCTCATTGGCTCTTTGGGATATTACGAAAAAAGATCTTCAGAGACACATGTAATTAATTTTAATTAGCATTCACACTGGAGTGATCTGAAATGGTACGCCTTGATAGAAAATGTTAGTCATTGCTGTTAACTCAGAGCAGATGGCCATTTTTGTTTCTTCAAAGTATATGATTTGCAGAGCTTCTGGTAGATCTTTTCTATTTGAAAAATAGTGCATATATTCAAACCAGCCATTGTGAAATTATAGGTGTCTAAAATGGTAGACTAAGGTTGAATAAGCAGAGTGTGCAAAGTGGAGTTGCAGATTGAATAAGTAGAGAACATACAGTTTCATCTAAGGTTATCTTTGCTGATAGTTGGAGTATCTGAATTCTGTTATTTCCTCCCTTTTTCATTTGAGGTGGCTATTTATGAAACCCGTATTCTGTATTATTTCAATTTCAATCAAATAAAAAAATACCTAAAAATATTTTTATGTGTTTTTCATGGAATAAAATTGGGCCAATTTGCATTTGATTCTAGATTTCTGATGTTGATTTCATATATGCTTCCATCCTAATAAAAAGATCGGATGCTCACAAAAGAATCAGTTGAGATAAGCACAGCTTTTTGTAATCTCTGTAAAGGAATATATTCCTTTATCTTTTAGTCTGTGAGTAGCTTCACTTGTGTCAGTGCAACTGCTGAAGTTAAATGTGGGTTTGTGTTCTTTGGAGGATTAAAGTAGTTTATAGGCCCAATTCTAAAAAAATTCACCAGTATCTTTGCTGTGTAATGGCTATTCTGTCTCCTCCCATATTAGCAAGAATAAATACATTTTTCAGTTAATCTTGGTTTGTATTTTCTCTCTATAAAAGGAAATTTAATGCACACACACTACATCTCTGTCTATTGAAATGTTGCAGATCCAATGCAATCTAAAAGCTGTCTATGCATATGGTTAATATGTGGATATGAATTAATATCCACACGTGTCAACTGGGTTTGTAATGTGCCTGCAGTGGTTGCCCTTAAAATCTTTGCAGGTTTGTTGGAGATAACTGTTTAACCTTATCTTAGTAGTAAGAAATTACAAGAGATACAGTCCATCTTGATGTCTAGCAGTGGTGTGTGCTCAGAGAGCAGCAGTTCTGATGTGCAACCACTGTAGAGGGAAACCCACTGGAATTGCCTCCACTGTGGCAACTAGAAAGTTCTCTCTTTGTGATTTTCAGTTGTGTATCATTCACTTATTGGTCTGGAAAAATGCAATATTATGTTGGTTTCCAGTAGTGCCACTATAGATATATTTTCATGTATTATGCATGATATTAAATTACAATGGTGAGGCTCTACGGGAGGAGGCAGAGTAGGTTGATGTGGTGTATTCATATAACTTTGCACAGTTTTCCCATTTCTGTGTTCACGTTTAAAAAATGTTAAATATTCATGGGAAATATCACACAGAAATAATACTTCTAGGCATGTTCCCATTTATTGTATCTGTTTTGTTTCTGAAGTCCCTTAGGTTATAAATATCAATAAGATTTGTATTGTTGAGAGCTCATCCTTTTGGTTTCTGGTATCCTGTGTTCTATCATTCTCTTTGATGTATAACATCCCATTTAGCTGCTATAGAGATGACAATGAGAACATGACTTCACAGTATTCCATATGGAGTAGGTAGGTGAGGACTGAGTAGTAACTGTTTCTGTGCTGATATCTTCAGCAATTTTAAGAAGTGGGAGAGAGAAGAAAACAGAGAATCTGAATTGTTTTCAAGAACGTTTTTACAGCTTTCCATGAGATGCCAGTGGATTCCTAATGAATAAAACATGTTAATGTGTTTTTGTAAGATTCCACTGGTAACAGAAAAAGGACACACTTTTTTCAAAAGTTACTTTGGCTTTTTTTTTTTTCATTTGAAAAGTTCCTGTGCCTATCAGCCTTTCTGGAAGAAAGAATGGCAGAGGAAGTCTAGTAGCAAGGAACCTACTAAGAGAGGCAAGCATCCCTTACTGTAAGATTCCTATGAGTTCTGGCTCAGGGCGTGCACCCCTCGGTTCCTCTCATGTGCTGAAAGTCGTGCCTGTGGCAGTGGAGTAGAATTAGCTCCACTAAAGTGGTGGAGCTCTCAGATACTACAGGGAGAAGGGCCTTAGACAGCTGGAGGCATCAGCTGCTTGGCCATGAGGTGTCTCTAGACCTAGGAAAAGTCTTGATACAGAGGCAGGAATGCAGGACTGTCAGCTCCTCGTGTACCAAGCGGTTGCCTAAAATCCCTGCTCGTACAGCTACGCTTGTTGTAGCAAGTCATGAAATGCCAAAAAGTATAACATATGACATGACAGTCCTGAAACAATGTTTTTACAAGCTGGTGTCATGTTGTTTTGCTCTTGCAGATAAGTGTTTTTGGAACTTCCCTATCACTATGTTTTACAGCCTTTATTTGCTCTATTGTTATTTTTAGTCATCTTTTCTGAGAGTACCATTTCACCATTTCAGCTTCCTATTTTTTCAAAGTTATAGCTGCTTCATTAACTTAGCCAAAAAGCTTATCTCAGTACAAGCTTCTAACAATAAATTAAAGCATTTTCTTTTCTGGCAATTTCATTATACTTCTATCTTTTTATTTTTATTTTTTTAATTGAGTTCTTTGTATTGTTCAGTAAATGTTGACTCAGAGTTTCACAATATTGCAAATTGAATAAAATTTGGGTGTTTTGTCATCAGTTTAAGGTAATGACATCTGAGGAGGTCATCCAGGCTATTACTTGCCTTAAGGTAGGATTAGTACTTTCGGAGTCAGGGAAGAAAAAGGACTAATTTTAAATTTCTTAATCAATAAAAAAAAATCCATAGAACTTTCAATCGTTCATACAGTCAGTGGTTTTGCCTAAACTGTGAGATCTGACCCTTTAATGTCACTTTGTGACCTTGTGGGCTGTTTTCTCTGGGAAGGAAGTGCGGGTATTCTCCTCTGACCAGCACTGAAACCTGCTCCAGTGACATCTCCAGTCCGGATTCTTGAAGGCAGTAGTGCAAGCGTGGTGCTGACTGCTCAGATTTAGCCATTGAAATTGGTGAGAATTACATCACCAACATATGGAAATCTGAGTATGTCCTTTATTGTTTTGCAGTTTTGAATGCAATTTATAAGCCTGCTAAAAATACCTGATGGTCTCTCTCTTCAGAGGTGGGTGTGCTCTGGCTGCCGTACTGTGGTTTCATGGCTGATAATTTAATGATTAGGTGTCATGGCTGGTTCTTGCTCAGATTCAATTACACTTTTTTTACCTGTTTCCTGAAACTCCCTCTAAAAAGCAAGGCTACAAGCTGCCTGGTGACATTGTTGGTAAGGGAGAAGCACTTCTGTGAGTGGGAATTACATCAACTCGGTTGTGTTCCAGCAGCGTGACAGTGAAATCCCACCAGTCCCCAAATGCTAAAGAAATTTGTCTAGGCAGTGACAATAATAGCTTTATTTCCTGGTTCTATGCGTATTCAGTTTCTTTGCCCCTCAAAATATGTGGCAAAAATGACCTCTGTAGTTGCATCCCCTTGTCATTGCTGTCTTTGAGAGTGATCTCCACCTACCCGCTCCTCCATAGTTTGCTAAGGGAAGAAAACAGTCTGGTTTTAATGGAAGGTTGACTCTTGTGCAACTTTTAAGATCCAGCAAATTGTGCTTTCCTAACCTTTGTCAGCTAAGCTTGTAGCCTTTCCTAAAAAGACTGTTGGCTGACAAATTTATGGTGATCAGGTCTGTGTATAGAATTTGAATTCAGAATCTAATGGCTAAACCGTAAGGGGAAAATTTGTTCTGTTTATTGGAGAATTTTCAAGTACCACCTTGCTATATACGTATTTTTCCTCTTTTCTCTTTTCTTCCATTAAGTGATTCCTTGTATTTGTCTCATTATCTGAATTACCTGCAAGAGGTATTATTTAAATGTGTCCCAATTTTCTTACTATGATGACAGACATCAGAGGTTTGTTTTGTTTGTTTAAAATATCTGATTATCATTACTTTTTTTTCCTCTCTTTTACTAATGATGTCCAAAAGCGTAAAAGGGCACATAATGCACTCAAAGGACTTAACATGGGAACAAGTTGTATCAGTAATTATTTTGGTATTTATTGGTTACAGCAACAATCTGTCACAAGCTGTGCAGTTATTTTGGCATGTCTAATGTGTTTGTCCTTTGCATCACAACAGCCTTTTTTCCCTAAAAATGCTCTGCTTTGGCAAAAGCAGGAAAATTGATTTTAAGTAGTTTCATGGTGCTTTTAGATGATTATTATTTCCAGAGCTGTGCTGTAGTGTTCTAAGATATTTTTAAGTACTCCATGTAATTATTAAACAAGCACCTGTCTCATAAACTCTGCTGTCCAAAACAATTACCAAGTAATTTCTGATCCCAAAGGATTTTTAATTTAAAATGCTGTGTGCATGATACAGAGTAGTAAAATGCTAGTTTTACAATGTGGTGCTCTTTGTTCTAGGAATGTTTACAAGGATTACCGTTTCCTTGAGCTAGCCTGTGACTCCCAAGAGGAGGTGGATAGCTGGAAGGCATCTCTGCTACGAGCCGGTGTCTATCCTGATAAATCCTCAGTAAGTTAAACAGCTCACTAGTTTGCCAGTAGCTGCTCTGTTTGAGTCAGAAAACACAATTGTATCATCTGGGAAAACACTGTGCCTGCAGATATCTCAAGAAAGGGCAGCCTTTTCATTGTACTGGTCTGTGGCAGTTGCGAAATATTCATAATGAAATATTTTAAGATCAATTTGTGCGTCAAACCTCAATGTAAGAGAAAAAAAGCAACCACAAACCAAACCTTCCAACATGTTTTTCATTGGATCTGTGTAGTAAAAGCATTGAGCAATTTGGGGTTTCCTGAGCTTCATTGTTTCTATTAATGTTTTCTAGAGGTAAAGATGTGCTTTGAAGAGTTTATTCCCCCAAGCTCTGTATTACAGAACTGACAGAAGCATTCCAGGCAATCATGTATATTTATTTTACTGATTCACTGCATGTTTTTTGTGTATGAAACACATGCTAAACCTTTCCAAGGGCTGTTTTACTCAGCTAATCATCATGTGAAGCAAATTGAACAGGATACAGTAAAAAAGCCTCTATTAGTTCACCAGAAGTGACAGAAAGTTGGGAAATGGAACATGTCCAGCTACCATTTCATATTTTTTGGACCTAGATTTCTTGATGCTTTACATCAAGTGAAGGTTTGAGGAGATGTGTCCAGAGGGAAGGCTGACTAACAGGAAAATCCTGTTGTTGGAGCTTTTGGAGTTTCTCTATTGCGCAGTTCACCTTTCTGCTGTCAGGCTGCTGCTCTGCTGGATTCCTTCAGTGGAAGATTTTGGAGAAACGATGCTTTGATTCTGATGGAATTTGTCCTTCTCTCTGGTTGTTTTCCATGGTCCCTTGTGTTCAAGGGTCTTCTGCTGTCTTCTCTGTTCATCTTTCTCTTCCTCATATTTCCTTTATACTTGTGATGCCTGCATGGCTTCCAGTACAATTCTGTCTGCATCTCCTCCTACTATTTAAGCAAACAAGCCTCAGCTTCCTCTCTTCATACCAGGTTTCATGGGTACCATTAGAAGATAAATAAGAAATCCTTGAACTGCTGGATTTTCCAATTATTATAGAAATAAACAGTGATTATGATGATGATGATAGATTTTTTTTTTAAAGGAGTAGTGAAAATACTCATTTAGCAGGAGACCTACCAGGTATCTGAGACCTTTAAAAAAATTTTTAAAAATTGCTGACTTTTAAGTATGTTTCCTGTTCCAGTAGATTTGTTCCTACCTAAGATTGTCAGAAGTAATTTTTCAAAGATTGGTTGTGAGAAGTTACTTAATTAATTACTAGGAACAAATTACTGTATTGTTTTGGGTTTTTCTTACTCAAGTTTTAATGATGACATCAAAAAGCCTGTTGCTGCCTCTGGTTTAATCATGTATTCTGTGATGGTTGTATCGTAATTCATATATTTGTTACTTTATCCTTAAATAAGACAGACTAGTTGTATTTCTAAACTTCTCTTCTGTCTTCCTGTCTCTCCCTTTCCCCTAAAAATACTTGGTATTCAAAATATGTTTACAAAGAATTCTTGGTTTTGTTTAAAGTTGGTCTGTCAAAGGAGTCTTAGATGCAAGATGAGAGACTTCCTTGAAAGACAGAAGTAGAAAGAAGCCAAAATAAAGTTCTCCTTTGAGCTGGAATTATCTTTACATTATAAAAAGAGTGAATATTATTGTTCCAAACCCCTGTAGTTTGAAATTCACTCAGTAGTCTATCAGGCTGTTCAGGAGAGATGCTCAGTGCTACTCTAGTCTTCCAGAGCTTTATTCCTACAGGATTAGAGGTCCAAATGTGGACTGTGAGTCTGCTGTTACGGTTTTGAATTTTGCAAAGCAGAATCTAAAAGGCCACAGGTACCTTAGAAGCTCCAGTGGAACCTAAATAAAAATGAACAGCGTTTCATTCAAGTCCTATGCATGCTCCTCAGTTTCACACCTTCCTCTGACAATACAAAAAAGGTTTAAAGACAACCCTCAGTCTTTTATTCGCCTTCGAAGATTTGGAGGCTGTGTTTTTAAGTATGAGAGACTGCCAGGAATTGGCAGCAACTTTTTACTCCCGTGCTTCCCCACAGCTTTGTGATCCCAGAGGTAAAAAAGCAAAGAGGTGCCCAAGCCCCTTCCCAGACCGACCTTCTCGCTCGCTCTTGTGTGTGAGGCACGGCTGGGAACTTCTGAGTATCCGAGGCTTTGGCACCAGCAGTAGAAAAATTGCTGCTTAGAAATGAAAAATAGATGGGTATTGCTGTGGAGCTGGAGCACTGCAGCGTGGGCTGGCCTGCTCCCTGGAGCTGCCGGAGCGTGTGCGCAGCCGGGAACGGGAAAGTGGAGCTGGATGCTTTCATTGGCAGCTCTGCTGCTCGTCCGCAAGGACCTGGTGTAAAACCCACAGCCATTGCCCCTAGCTGGGTTCCTTCTGCAGTGGCAAGAAAAGTAGGAATTTGTCACTGAATTAGAGAGATGTGTTCTAAATTCTCACCAAGGGTGAATCTGCCAACTAAGAATATTCATTTTTCTGCTGTTTTTTGTTGGTTGTTTTTTTTTTAGCAGTGCTGCATTGATTGCAGTGGTAATGGGGCTCAGTACTTGCTGCCACTAATACGGTGTCTCAGCTGCTAGTTAAATCCCATAAGCTAAGTCCAGGCTTGCAGATGTATAATTTCTATTTTTACCTAAACAAATCTCATTAATATATTAAAGGACATATATCACCCCTTTGCTCCTTTTTGTTGCTTAATTTTGCTTGCCTTTCTTGGCCTGTGCACACGGTGATGCACACTCATGTTCATATATTCACTTTGTTGCTGACTATCTCTGATCACCCCTTAGTGTTGCTCCATGAGCCCCTGAATTCTTTTGCAGTTTGCCAAGTCACCTCTCCTTGCCACAGTCAATTTACTTTTGTCAGGACGTGGGCTTTGACAGCCACCCGGATAGCAATGAATCAGTGTTTTTATTTTTCCAACCCATATGCAAGTCAGCTTTCTTGATATAAATCACACTGTGGCCAATTCACTTTGAAACAGGATATCCATTTACCAGCTGACTTTACTGCAGGCTTTCTGGACTGATGCATCCAAAACCCTCCTTTTTTTTTTTTTTTTTTTTTTTTTCAAATGACTACAACTTTGTGACTAACCTTTCCAGACTCTATTTCTCAACTGTAGGCTGGTGTTTATTTTGGCTGGCTTCCCACTGTAAAATATACACTGTTCATGCCAGCTCATGGCAAAACTCACAATTAAACTAAAATAATAGCACAGATGTTTGTCGTAACTTGCTCCGCACACTCTACCTTGCTAGCACTGTCCATTCCTCCTTCCCCCCCTCCCACAATGCCATCTCCTCCTTATTTTTCTTACTAATCTAAAAATTCAATATTTGCGTTTTAAAAAGCTTTGGATCATGAAACTTTCCATTCATTGGCAAGTTGTAGGGAGTGGCTTTCATGCAGGGCTCAGCAGACATGTTTAGTGGGTTGCTTTGCGTACTGGAAGCTCAGTATTACCAACACACGAAAATCCCTCTGGCTTCCATCCCATCCCTAGATCACTTCAGGCCTCGTTTTCTTCTTTCTCATAGTAGTGTCCACTGACTTCCCAGGCGCTGTTCTGACTGACACTGAAGGAAGCAAAAGTGGGATCAGAATGTTTGTGTGGAGAGGAAAACATTTTGAATGTTTTGAATCCCTTGCAAATGTCCTGTGTTCCCCTGGAAGCTCTCTAACTACAGGATTCAGTGAATGTTCCCTGAGTCAGTTCCTCATTTGGTTTGAGCCAATTCCAGAACTGGACAAGTTAGGCTGAATGCATGTAAAATAAATGTATCTAATATTTCTTTTTTTCCCCCTCTTTCCTCCTTGCTGCATCCTGCAAAGGGGAGCAACAAAGTAAGTTGTTTGTCCTTTTACAAACTACTTCTCTATCCTGTCACAAGGGTTTTGGCATGAAAATTGGTTTGTCTTGTGGTTCACACAGCTATTACCTGCATGCTCTTAACAGCAAACTGCTATGAAAAATGGGAGTGCAAAAGTGTCTTCTACAAAAACTATTACGGGCTCTTTGTTTTAATTTTGGGGAAGGAAAAGTATTAAGTGTTGCTGAGTGTTGCTTTTTAAGGGGGTTCAGTAAGAATGATACTATAAAAGTGTTGGGCCCAAAGATTATGAAGGTATAGTAATAAAGACCTTCTGAGGAAAGGTTACTACAGTCTGGTGAAACTCATTACAGCTGGGTTTTTTGACCATACATCAAAGCTTGTATTAATGGGCAGTTATAAAAACCCAGCACTAAAGTCTTAAATAACAGATTTGCTGGTGTTGTTGGCTAAGCTGAACTAGATCAGTGTACTGGCTTTGAAGGTGCCTTAAAATGGATGGAGGAGGGTGGGGTCAACATTTGACTTGGCTTCTAGACCCTTGATGTGTTCCAGCTGGACAGCAGCAGAAGGGTGTGGGGTGTGGAGAGGGAGAACTGAAATATGCATGGCAGGGTTTTTTTTGAAAGTAAGCAGCACATAAAAAGACAGTTTTGCTGATGTTGATCTGATAAACGAATAATACTGCGGTTCCCAGGATTTTTTTAAGCCATTTTTACTGAGTTTAAGAATGGAAATTGCACATCTCACACTTTGGAATAAGATGCAGAGAGAGTTTGTCAGACCTCGGAAAGGAGTTATACAGCTTTTGTGCCTTTTTTCCCCCCCTCTTTCCTCTTTTGGTATACTAACCCATAGGAAGATGAATCTGGAGCATCAAAAGATGCTTCACAGCGAATGTTAAAAGTAGCCTTTGAAATATTGCCTATAGCATCTCAGTGTGAGCTGTTTGGGTATTTGGGAAAGACCCAGGTGGGTTTAAAATGTTCTAAAGGTTGGTAATTTCTGTCTGCTTTTAATTTTTGTATTTTTAACCAGTTTTTGACGATGTCTGTCTCCACAGTGGCTGGGCTCAGAAGCACCAAAAATCTTCTGTTTTGTTGGCCTGCCTGGGAAAAGGAGCTCTTAGTGTTGGATGGGGAGGGGTTAAGAGAATTGGTGTATTGATGGCACAGATAGAGGGACTTCACATAGGAGGCGGTGTGAAATGTAAATGTTAACTGTGTACACTAAAACGTCAAGGCAGTGTTTATAATGTTTCTTTACGACATGCTGACTTAAGGCTTTGCTGCTGCAGTGGATGCTGGTCTGATCTCAGAGGAGGGAGGTTGGACTGTAGATGCTCTGTCAAGGGAAATGGGGATGGATGGGATGCTGGAGAGCTCTTGGGGCTGGCAGAGCTCTTGAGTCTGGAGGCTGGGAGTTGTATGGACCAACTCTGTTCTCCAGAGCCCTGAGCTATGGGGCACCCCTGGGAGGTCAGGATCTGTTGCATCTGACAGAATTAGCTGCTGGCAAAAGACAGGATACCTGTAAGCAGGTATAGGACAAACCTGTGAGATGTGAGGATTGGAGAGCTCTTGGCTCTTCTTTCACTCTGAGGAAGGGCATTTCTTGCTGTAGGTTCAGAGAGATTCTCCCTCTGGCCCAGGCTGTCAGCCAGAAGGTAACTCCAAAAGAAATCTCCTGGAAACCATCCTGATCCTTCTGTTTGACCCAGTTCCTTCCTTGTAAGGATTCTTGTATCTTCATCTGTGCATCCCCCCACCCTCCCCTTCTCTTTCACAGAGGCCATTCATACTGGAGTCTGGAGGTTTCATATCCCAGTTAGAAAGATTGAACTAACCTGCAGCTGCCTGTGGAGGCTCAAATCCCACAGTCTTCTTCTGCACTGGTGGCATGGAAAATGACATGGGTAAACCTGAGAGGTGGCCAGACAGTTTTTGAGAATGGGTCAGGAGAAGAGAGGAATGGCTGACTGAGGTTGATGATGGTTTCTCACAGCTTCTTATGCAACTTTATGCTACAAAGCTGCATAATCCTTCCAGATTGTCCTGGTACAGATTTCCTGGGTTGCTACCAGAGCTGTAACCCTCCTCCTAGTGCTGCCCAGTGGGGCATTCATACTGTGCATCCTGTCCTATGTACAGATGTCAAGATCCTGTACTCACTCATCTATTCAGACTGTGGCTGCTTTTATACTTCTGCCTTTAGCTTTGCACTCTTGGATTTACAAAAGTAAAAATAAACATTGGAGTAATGAATCCCTAAGAAAAAAGGGAGGAAGGGAAGTGAAGAGGGTTTATAATCATCAGCAGACTAATAATAATTTTTATTTTTACATTTTATTGTTGCACAATCATTACTGTGAGATTTCTCACATGGTTAAAGATAAATATATCTTCAAAAGCTTTGTTGGATAAAATCTGTAAAGGGTCATGTCGAATGAGGTAATGGAGACCTACCTCATTCAGCAAGCACATGTTGGCAAGCCACATCTCACTAATATTAACACTGAACTCCACAGCTTTGTGCAGGGGAAGAGGGAAGAATTGTCCAGAGTTATTGTCCAGGGCGTTGTAGCTTCAGTCCAGGTACTGGAGACAGAGGAGCTGAGAGCTTCTGACTGTCTTAAGACACCACTGTGGATTTGCTGCTTCCCCTGTGCATCTTCTTCACCCTCATTTATCAAAAAAATTCATGAATCCCTTCAAAACAGCCCTCTAAATGCTGCTGTTTGAAAACAACATCTCAACTGTACCATTCTCATGAAATCTATCTTCAGTGAGCTTCTAACCTTGTTAGGTTAAAAGATTAGGTGGATGCTGTGTCTTTAGGAAATTTTGATTCCAGATTTCTTGGCACTCAAGCAATAAAACAGCAGCAACAAAAAAAAAAAAAATCAAAACCCCAAAATGGCACTTTTTAATATAAAAGGTTACCTTTCTTTTGGCATCATTAAGTCCTGAGTTAGCGAATCATTTCTACTTGATTTGAAGGATCAAACACTTAAATGCTGAGCTCAAACTTGAGGAACTTCAACTTGGAAAATGAAAATCTCTTTAAATTATTTTTTACGGATAAAGTCACTATGAATTTCTTACCTTCTAATTAATTTGCATTGCTGTGCTTGCTGATACCCTTTGCATAATGTGCACAACTGAAGTACATAAGTCCTATATTCACATCTCAGAGGAGTTGTCACAGTGCAGACAATGCTGCACATTAAAATGTTCACTGAATATAAAGTCAGTGTAATTTAGTCTGAATTTTCTCATAGGAAAAACAGAGTCCCCTTTGGAAAGAGAAGGAAAATACTCTTCCTGTCAGGTCAGTTTGCCTGTTATTCCTTAAAATACGTCTTGGTGACATATTAATTGGTTAGATTGAAGCCATTCTCTTTCTCTCTTTTTTTCTTTAGGGGAGTTAGTTTTACTAAACCCAGATTCCAGATCAGCTACTTCATTAAGGAGTCCAGATGTCCTACTGTCTCTTGAGACAGTCCTGGAAAATGGGAGCGTGGTGAAGTCAGGATACTCCTATTCTACCTATATATGTGACAACATTGCTCTCAGTTCATGTATATCATGCTTGGCTATTGCCATGTAAATGCAGGTGTAGTGCCAGAAGCCATCAGTATTGGAATAAAGCTCTGATGCTTTCTTTTCCAAATTCAGCCATGTTTCTGAAGGGGCTTCAATTATCTCCCAGACATAAACTCTGACTCAGCCAGTTACTGGCTGTGATGATGCTTTGCCAGTGCCCCAGCCAGACTCAAACTGGAAGTGAGTGGTTCTGCTCTAGGATTGCTCAAGTCTGTGTTCGGGAGAAGTTCCTAAACTAGAAAAAATAAAGACTTGTTTGGGTTTGTTGAAAAGCAAACTGCTGATATGTCAGAGGGCAAAGCAGTGTAGACAGAAGTGTAAACTCTGCATTTACTGGGTTTACTTTTTTTAACTAGTGTATTTTAGAAAAGGAAGGTATTGAAGTCTAGGAAAAGAAGAATCCACTTCAGTTATGACTAAAATTGGTTTCAGGCCAACTAGGTTTAAAAATAACTTTTAAATGAAGTGTTAATTTTTTTTTTTCAAGTGGGAAAAATGCCATAATTTTATAGACAGTGTTTCAGTCATTGCTTCGAACAGATGAGTTGGATTTTACAAGGCAGTCACGGTGTAAAGGAGCAGCCCAAGGGGCTGAGCGTGCATGCGCACACATGCTGGGTCAACAGCAGTCCAAAACACAGGGAGGAAAGGAAATGGCAGACTGTTTTTCAGTCCCTTCCTCGCTGCCCCACTGTTTCAAGGATGTGAAAACATGTTTCACATAAAAACTATCTTCTTGTTCTCCTAAATATTTACTAGTTCAAACAAAAACTAGACAAAAACTTTGTTCCCCAAGTGTTCCTCGAGAAACAGAGCAGCCCTGGTTCACGTTCTTGTCAGAGTAAAATAACTGCTGGCACAAGAGAGTTAAAAACGTATAGGGAAAAAGAGGATTCATAGGATTGCATCAGTTACCCTGACTGTAACAAGATGCAGGCTGACAGATAGAATGATTTCAAAACCTGTCCTGGCGAAGCTGGTAACTGCTGATCGGGGTTGGAGGTTCAAGAGCTGTCACAGGGTTTTACGTTTCTGCTCTTAAATGGGGCTGCTGACATTAAGCAAACTCCAGGAAATTTAGAAATGAGCAAACATTTTTTTATTTCTGTTATGTATTCACGGTGGGCTCTTTACTGTGCTTTTGGCAAGGCATCTGCATATTGAAAATATTTTTAAATTCTTCATTCTTTATGGTGCAGCTACTTTTTGCACTACTTCCACTCTGATGAGGGATTTTGTTGAAGCTCTGCAGGAATGTGAAAGCTCTCTGGTCGTGAAGTTTCAGATCATGGAGTTTGAGTATCAGCCCCATTCTGGACATTGTGAGATTTGCCCTGGGGAAGGTACAGTGAAGGTGTCCCACCTGTAAGGATGCTTTCCCAGACCCGGTCAATGAGCACTGAGAGTT